AGATCAAGAAATACAATAGCTGGCATGCTTATAAGAATTTTATATATATATATATATATATATATATATATATATATATATATATATATATATACAAACAGTTACAAACTGAAATTCATTTTTACATACATTGTGGAAATGAATAAAACTAATGGGCAACTGGCTTCAGATTCACTGATGCATCTTCACATGTAGGATAAAAAAAGTAAATAGAAAAAGTATGTAGATTATCATCAAAATGAATAAAAAAAACACATTAGCCATTGGTTGACTAGATTACACACTTAAAACTTATTTTATCAATTATTCAGACTAGGGTACTAAGGATTATGGTGTCAAAATAAAAATGGCAGCTGGTAGTTTCATTAATGCAAACTCTTAAAAAACCAAGTAGCTGCCCTAAATGGAAATCAGAAATTTGGTGGAAGCTGAACACAGCATGAGAGAAAACTATGACATGGATAGGTTACTTATATTTAACAAAGATACGTTGTTGTGAATGTTTTTATCAAGCAATTCTTTGCAAGGAATGTAAACATTTTCACTTCAAAATTCTCTATGATAGACTTGCTAACAATATTCTATGAATATACAAGGAAGAAATACTTGAAATAAACAACATTCAAATAAATAGTTCATTAGCACCCTGAACATTTAATTCCAAATAATAGTAAAAATAAGAGGAAAAAAAAAAAAAAAAAAGTACTTTATGAAAAGGGTGAAAACTTCTTACCCATAAAGTTGTAGTTGCTTCTCGATCTCCAGTTGGGAGTTCTAAATGTAAATCTCCAGCACTGGAAAACATTCCAACCACCTGAAATAAACAGAACAAATATTTGTTTTTTTGAGGATTTGAAAGGAGATTCCTAAGACTGTATGGAAAAAAAAAAAAAAAAAAAAAAAAAAAAAAAAAAAACAATATTAAGTGATTAAAAATAGTTTTGTCTCAAAATAAATACATATAAAACATATACAGAACATTGTACACCTCGGTGTCAAAAGCCATCAAATAGTAATGGCAGTGATAACGCTGTACCTTGCAGTTTTCAATAAGGCTTGACTAACATTTCTCAACTTTTTTTTTTTTTTTTTTTTTTTTTTTTAAGTCACATTTGTAGAATAACTAAATTCTGGGGTGCACTTAAAATTTTAATAAGACAAAATTAGTCATGAAATCGGAAAATAATAGAAAAGTCTCCTGAAATAAGCATTTATTTTTTAAGACATTAAATTGTATATTTAAGTCTGTTTGTGTGAAACCTGTGCTTCCACAATTTTTTTTGAATATGAGGTTTTAATTGTGAGAAATATATTGTCATTTTTCATCAATGCATTTAATATTTCATGTATTTTTGCATTTGACATTGTCGATAAGTGGAAAGAACCATAATTCACAGAGGAATTGCAATATTCTATGTTTAATAGCATTCTTCTTGTATGGAAATCCAAAATTGATCAATGGTTACTGACTTATGCCACCTACTGTTCTGTTAACGATAAGGCAATGTCATCAGTTGAAACATTAATGAAAGTGCTGCAAATCCAATCATATTGTTCAATGTTTATAGATGGAAAGTTACACGGATTACCTTTCCAGAGTTGTCAAATAATCCATTTTTGCAGGGAGTAAATCATTTACATGGACTTGGTATTTCTAGCTTTTTAAAAATAAAGATTTTTTAAAATATAAATATAATTAATAAATTACTCTTTGGATAGCACACCTGGCGACCTTTCAGGGCACATTAGTACACCCAGACTCACTGATTGAGAAATGCTAGTCTAGACCTATATCAATGGACTCTGACATCTGATGAGCTAGTGTGAACAGCAACAAGTCTACTCATGGCAAGTCAACCTGAATTATCAAAGTATAAACAGAGGGTGCCAGTCAGTACATTCCATTTCTGAAATTGTAGTGACATTAAACATACCTTGATCTACAGTGTCATGTGTACCAGGAATACCTGATGAAAGGCATTACTGCCTACTATGGACAGTTCAGTAGTTGACCACAGGTCAGAACCAGGAGGTGTGTGGCTAGAAATGTCTGTGGTAACAGACAAGTGACATTGGTTCAAATTATACACACATTCAATCCAGGAGGTACCAGACACATATACAGCAGGCAAGTTTGGCATTCTCTAGCTTGGATACAAGAATAACGACAACACCTCAGTACCTGGGCTCAATGATATCACTAATTAGACCCCATTGGGAACATGATGCATGATCCAATGAATTATAGATCCAGTTGTTTCAGACTGAAAGTATAGTTTGACTGTGAAGCAAATCCTATGAGGCAATGAACACCAGTTGTCATGAAAGTGCTGTACAGGTGTCTGCGTAATAGTTTTTTTTTTTTGGGGGGGTGATGTTCATGTGGCATGGATTAGATCCATCTAAATTTGTCATTGACCACTGCATGACCATTTGCATATATTCACTTACTACATATTCCTTAACAATGACAGACTATTTCAGCAGGATAATGCATTACGTCAGCTGCCCAAGTTTCCCAGAACTGATCTGAGGAACATTTTGGGAACTTTTAGCATGTCCACTCATATTTGTTCGATGTATTTACAGGACATGGTGAAGCCATTGGTTCACATGCAATATCCCTCCCCTACAAATATCAGAGAGACAGCATGGTTCAAGATTTCTCCAGAGTTCTACCAACCTCTTTTGGAATCAATGCCATACAAAGCTGCTGCACTTCGTTAGGTGAGAGGGACAAATCCTTCAATATGATATGAGTCACCTCTACCATGATTTTGCACATCATTCATTAATTCATTTTCTATGGCTTACCAACCATTTGCAGGTTATTTAAAGCCAGAAAATATTTTTAAATCTTTAAAGAATTTTTAAATCTTTTAAGAATTTGGGGGGTGCAGGAGAGATAATGATTTAGTGATACAACTTTTATTAATTAACCCATAGAGAAGGGGCAAGAAAAGGTGGATTCGTAATATTCCCAATGGTATCTGCACATAAGTAAATATATCAAACCCAACTGGAATTGGAACTCAGCTCTCTGATTAATAATGCAGAGTGATTATGCATTACAAACACCCAAATATTCCCAAGCAGTAAGCTAGGAAGTGACCAGGTTTGACGTTGCTTAACATTGGTGGTTGTACAGAAACCAGTATTTCAACAGGATATGACTGTAAGCCACTTTGCATACCCGTGTGAAAATATAGCTCTAATTTTAGCAAAAGCCAATATGTAAAATCCATGGACTTACATAATCATTGTCAATTACTGTATAATTCATGCATTAATATATGACATCTGATTTAGAGATCACTTTTAACCCATGTAAATTTGAGACATATAGGCATTCTATCAAACATTAGTCATCTGTGATTAATACTAGATGGTGTGTGTGTGTGTGTGTGAGTCTAGATACAGGGTGCGATGGGTAAATTGTCGCCATTATATATTTTTAATTTCATGCATGCACATTGTTTTTGTTAACTACACAGTATGATAGGGTCAAGTGGGCACCATCTGTAAAAAAAGAGCACCATGAAACGAAATGGCATGCTGTACTGCTTGGCATTCACACCAGAAGCTCCAATACGAATTTCTAAGTGTTTGATTGTCAATCTGAGGACAGTACAAAGGATTCAAAAAGAGTTGGATGAGTAATGATGATTACAAAGGTATGGCAGCTCAGAAAACTCACTCTGATCGTTCTGATAAGAACTCCTGAATTTGTTAGTGAGATCCAAGGCCATAATTGACAACGATCCTTCCAAATCAATCAGGTCCATAGACAGGGACATAGGACTGTGAGTTTCGTATCAGACAGGTAGTACATGAAGACATTTGGTATTTCTTATACAAGATGAGAAAGGACCAATTTTTATCCCAAGCCATGAAGGACAAGAGGAAAAACTACACCATGAAACTTTTGAATAAAGCCTCAAGCATCACCTACAACCGAACATGCTTTTATTTTTCTCAGATGAGAAAAATTTCTGCCAGGATAAGATTGTGAACACACAGAACAATCCTTGGCTTGCTGTGTCCCCCAAAAATGTACCAAGAGTGATGAAAACCAAATATCCAGTTATCATCATGGTGTTTGAAGTGATTACTAGGCTTCAGATTCAACACAGAGATCTACATCAAGTACTTTCAGTAGATAGTGCTGCCCTGAGTCAAGAGGGCACTTGCTGGAAGACCCTATGTCTGGTAACAGGATTCTGCACCACACAAGCAGGAGAACCCAGTCATGGCTGTCAGACAATTTCTGTGACCACATCACCCCTTACATCTGGCCACCTAACTGCCCAGACTGCAACCCCCACCCCTGATTATTATGTGCAGAGTGCAATTAAGAGATCAACAAAACCCTTTGTAACACCAAAGTTGAACTGAAGGCAAGGATTATGGCAGCATTCACCAACTTAAATAAGGAAACCATCCTGAAGAGTTGTAAAAAATTCCAAAGTTGTCTGAAGGCCAATGGTGATTTTATTGAATAAATTTACTCTTTAGTATTTCAAGATATTTTTGTGTAATTTTGGTAAATATATCTGTTTAAATGAGATGTCATATATATATCCAACTTTTATTTACTGCTCATCATCCAGTATAGTTTGTCCAGACCAAATGGAAGGATAATGTATTATTCCCATTGTTATTTCAAAACTCAATCCAAGTGTGTATATATATATATATATATATATATATATATATATATATATATAGCTAATATTAGTAGTAAATATACACATAGATTACTACGATACATAGGTGCACACATACATATATATTTTTTTTGTAACAAAAAAATAATTCCAAGAGGAGAGAATCCAGGTAGAACTCAATGTCCAGGACAGAGTAAGGATATAATAAAAAGGCTTAAACACTAATATTCCATGGTCATAATTTATTGCATTGGAATCGTAAAAATGATCAAATTCATCAGACCTAAAAATTCAAAAAGAAAACAAAAAACAACTCCAGAAATAAAAATAGAATTTAGAGAGAGTGTAAGTATGAGAGTGCGGGACAAATGTTAGAGCTAAAGAGAGGGGTAATAGATGAGAGAAGGTGGGAGATTAAACATTAACAGAGAGAAGTTTTAGAGAGGTTTAAGTGAGAGAAACATGAATGTTGTCGAATGTCTAATACATTAAAAGATACATTTTGTGGTGACATACACGGTTTTGAACAATAAAATAGAGAAATTAAAAAAAAAAAAAAAAAAAAAATTTTTAGACATACTGGGTTGTATATTTTTTTGCTTTATTATTTTAATTAGATCCCTCAACTAGTTTCAGCTAGCATAGCCATCATCAGGAGAAATAAAATTTGTTTGTTAGTAGCAGTGAACTACAGGAAAATATATATATATATATATATATATATATATATATATATATATATATATATTTGTGTTTGTCAAAACAAATTTCACCATTTGCTTCCTTGTTTGCCTTAAAAGACATTCTATTTTTAACATGATGACAAGATAACTTGTCAACTTACATTTCTGAATATTATCACTTATTTATATCAACAAAATACCCAGTTACAACAAATCTATTTATATAGAAATTCTAAATTTTTTCACTCTCCTCAGAGGCCACTTTGTTACTTAAATATGCTGAGGAGTTCAGAAAGCTTTTAAGATTTGTAAATTATATATCAATATGATTGTTTTGGGGGAAGATAGTGGAGTGGTTTCCTGTTGTCTTTTTCCCCAGTTTTATATTCAGAGGCCAGAGAAGCTAGCCAGCTATTTAAACATAGGATAAGGCAGTAGAGAGATGGATTAACACCTTTATCAATAAGGTTACTGTAAACTGAACTCAAATACTTCAGTTGGAATTTGAAGCTGCTTGGTAATTTGATTGTCCATACCAGCGATATTCAACTAGGGCGCCCCATGAGATATTGTCACTACATACATATATGTGTATGTATGCATGTGTGGAAGTAGTAATGGTACAGTGTCAGTATTTGAATAAATGAAAAAGTATTAAACTTTTTTTTCAAGTAATTCTTTCCACTATTCTTTGATTGTTATTTTAAATACTTTGGTTTATTTTCTTTATTTTTTTTCAGAGTATTTTTATTTTTTTTAAGGTCTCAAAACATTTGGCAGTACCCATTGATACATTTTGGATTTCAATGCAAAAGGAATATCCCACATTAGCTAAAAAGGCTGTATTAGTTCATATTGCAATTTTCTATTTCTTATTTATGTGAATTTGGCTTCTCAACCCTAAATAACATCAAAAATAAGAAGCGAGAAAGACTACATTTAACTGAAAAAGAAATGAGGGTCTTGTTGCACATTCAATCAAACATTGACGAAATCACAAAAAAAAACAAAAAAAAAAAAAAAAAAAAAAAACAGGCACAGGTTTCATACTAAATAAGCTGCACAAATAGTTGAATAGAAACATTGAAATAAAATTCATATGTGTGTGTATATATATATATATATATATATATATATATATATATATATTTTAAAATCTATGGTTTTATTTCATGACATTTAAATGTATGCCTTTAAAAATTTTGTTAAGAGTGCTATTTTCATTTTCTTAGGTGTGCCATTGCTTAAAAAGTTTAATAAACTCTGGTCTATACTATCAACCCTCAAACTAAAATTATCAATTTTGTATCTTAAGGTGTTGTTTAAGTGCCATTTTTCACATTGATAAGCACAAAGGTTTTTTTGGGGGGAGGGGGGGGTTAAAGAATTTTAAAAGCAAAACAAACATGGTTTCATTCTACATTTCATCATCTATTGAAAAAATAGAATTAAGAAAAATATTATTGACAAAAGAAAGTAAGACATACTTGCAAGGTGGAACTGTGTGGATTGTGCATTTCTATTAATGAAGAGAAACTACTGTTCAAGGGTACTTTGGCACCTAAATAGGGCCGAAGTCTGTAGGGATTTGGAATCCCAACACCAAATACCTGAAAGAAAAATAAACAAAAACATATAGATCAAGGATAAGTCAATGATATTAATATGGTTCTAAGAGGACAATGACGGAAGTAAAGTAAATTTCATCACATTGTACTTTTAAGATCATTCAAAGTCAACTGAAGTGCCAGTAAACTGTCCTCTTTAATCCAACTATAAACAACTTGACAACCCATTTTCCAACAGACTACTTGACTTCAATAGTTTCAATGTAGCAATCAAATAGCTGTCAAATTAAAACCTATTTCTTCCCACCTGATAGATAGATAGAAATAAAAGTGCTCAAAATAAAATTCCAAGTTGAATACATAGAGCTAATATATATAAGAATGTCTAAAATGACAGCCTACCTCACAACCTGAGTTCTGACCACAAGGTCTCCTCAGGCAAGTGAATATATATATATATATATATATATATATATATATATATCGAATATATATCATATCATCTATCCTCCATTCTCTTTTCCCCACTGGTGTTCATTTTCATGACTGGAATCAGAGATGACTGTGAATCAAAGAGGTTGACAAGGTCATTCACATGAATTAGATTTTGGTGGACAACTGTGCAACAGAGAAACCCACACAGTTGGCCAGAAGTAATTCCATCACAGCTTTATATATATATATATATATATAAATAAATATTTTGAAATGGCATATATATATATATATATATATATATATATATATATATATATAATATGAAGAAATGGCATATATCTTGATATTCTCAACAAAACCCAAAGTAGTGTCTGCCATGTTATTGGTTCTGGCCTGGTACGCGGACTTCAGTCACAATCCCCACAATAGTGACATGACTTCCCTATGCCTTTTCTATAAATATTTTACAGCAATTGTTCTAATGAGCTCTCCCTCCTTGGTACCTTAATTTAAATGTTCTACCAGATTAGCAACAAAATTTTATCATTTTACTTTTGAATCAGCTAGATGTAACTAAGTTCTATTTTAAAGGTTTCCTTTCTTGCACCTCTGGCCTATGAAATTGCCAATTTCTTGCTCCCCTGCCACCTACAATCTTCAAAAACTTAAATGCAAAATCAATCGTCTTCTGTCTTCTCAAATTCTCCCCCCATTCTTCTATTGTCCTCTCTACTCGGTAAAATCTTCTCATTCACTCTCAATAACACCTGGCACCTTAGCAGCATTATCACCTTGCCATTATATATATATATATATATATATATATATATATATATAAAGATTTGTCGTTCTTTGGTGTATGAGGGTACAGCAGCTATGCTCTTAAAACTGAACAGCAAGACTTCCCATACAAATGATTTTGATTATAGCAGTGAAGAGGCTTATGCAGAACCCATCCACACTTTTGTTTTTTTTTTAGAAGAACTAAATACAGGGAATTGGTGCAGAGAGATCTCTCCAAATGATATATATTTTCACAAGATCCAAATCCAGGGTCTTCTCACTCCTATTGGAAGAATCCTTCCCCGATTGACCATGTCTTCAGGGATGTACCTGTACTCATCACACTTGGCGGCCAACTATGTGTTGACGAAGCTATTTAATCCATAGTTGTAGGTTTTGAATTCAGGGTTATCTTTCTCCTAGACCTGTTGCCAACCAAGGATATAGGACCCAGCCTGCACTGCTATCTAACCCATAGCTGGAGGGTAAGAGAGGCAGATTCATTGCTTTCCCAAGGCTATTTACCTACAAGTGGATGTAATGAACCTGGCCAATTCCTTAATCCAAACCACTATTAATCCACAGTAATATATAAAAAAAAAAATTACCAGTTGCAGTACCTATCATCCAGTAGAATAGAGGTTGAGTTTTTAGTTTTTACCTTTTTAAAAAAAAAAAAAAAAAAAAAAATTATAGCATTCGATACAAAAGCTGAGATTTGATGCAATAAATCCTGACACCACAAATTAGATTCATAGCTTTTACCAATTTTTGAGTGTTTAATTTTAAAGAACATCTGAAAAATGCACTGAAATACCTAATTTCTAGGGTTTTTTTTTTTCTGGCTTACAAATTGACTTCAAACTTTGACTATTTCAAGAATAAATCCAAATAAAGTTGATATCTTTTGTATTAGATAAATTGAAAGCAAAATATATTCAAACAAGAATTCTAATTATGAATCACAAGCAAAATATGTAATTTTTTACTTTATTCGATAAGCAAAAACTGTATAAAAATTGTAAAAGATTACAAAAAAGGCTAATCAATGAAATTACTCTTGTAAATTGACAACTAATTAAGTATGAATAAATGTTTACTTATCTAATGGACACATTTTTATAGCCTCTTCCCTCAACTCCAATTCATCTGACAAGGTAAAAAGCATTGTGCTGTAAATTTTTAATGCAACATTTTGTATTTTGATCAAATGTTGATTTATTCTCTGAATCATATTTGATGATATACAGATTTTGGTTATGGAATTTATTATCCCTTTTAATTTCAAACCAAATAATTGTATATATTTCAATTATAAATTTTCTAAGGCTCACACTGATCATTGGAATGAAATTCCAATGTCCCAATTTTGAACCAAAACAATCTTTAAAATTGTTTCCTCAAAAAACTGTAAGGATTTTGAAAAAAAATAATTTGTGTCATTATTCATCATGTCAATCCAAACTTTCAAATTGTGAGCAATACCATGGTTCTAAAACTGACCTGTGCAACTCCACCAAATAGTCAACTTATTAACAAGTTTTACTGATCTACATATTATAAGTTAAATACACTTAGTTATTTCTTTACTGCCAGGCAGATACACTAGTACTATTTCAAGTAGAATACTAATATTTTATTTCTCAGAGAAAAATGTGCAACATTTTAGAGACAAAGATTAACTTAGACCAGGGGTTGGCAACTCATTCGACCCCGCAGGCCAGATCGTGTTATAATGACGGGTCGCGGGCCGGACGAAGGCCATTAATGAAAAAATAAGGAAAATTATATATGCAGACCCCTGACAACCTAAATATTTAAAACCATAATGAAAATAAACATTGAGAAATTAGAAAAACAAAAGAAAATCTAAAATTAAAAAACACCTAACAAAAATTACTTTTCTTCAAAGAACGTCAAAATACTTCAAAGTGAAAAAAAATCACCCGAAGTGAAATGCATGAAATTATGACATGCAGGTTTGAAACTTATTGAAAATTGTTCCACAAATGAACCATACACACATCAAACAAAAACGAAGCACATATACCCATACACGAGTACAAATAGTTGCAAACATATACACTTACGTACGTACACATGCGGTATCATCCATACATTCATGAGGCATGTATGTATAATGCGCGTATGTTTAACTGTCTTTAGATTTCTGCTACCTCGCATGTCAGACCCTCTCTGGCTTCTTTCACTTTATCGTTCCTTTCGTTTCTGTTACCTTTTAATGTAGCCAAGGGTTATAACAAATATGTATCCATTATTTGACATTAAACGTAGGCAACGCAACTTGGTAAAATAAGTCTCATGAAAGATAACTGGCACATAATTCGAAAGCCTTGTCTTTCATGTTAAAAATAGAGTCATTGGTAATCAGGCTTGTGGGACGGTCAAATTGCCTTCGCGGACCGGATCTGGCCCGCAACTTAGATGAATGTTTTTTTCTTTTTTATGAACACAAGTTCCAAGTTCCTTTTGATCAGAATAAAAGTTAATTTTATGATTGTATTAAAGTTCAAAAGCTGATCTACTCTAGGAAATCTGACCAAATACCACATTACAGAATGACTTCAAGTACTTTTTAGTAACTACCACCTTATATTACATACAAAAGAAGATCAATAAGTCTGTAGACTGCCAGTTATTTGCTAGATTTTAATCTGAAATTTTCACAGTATAATGTTTGATCCAGGTGATTAAGTGCATTGATAAGGATAAAGTTGAAAAATATTTGCATAAAATACTTTTTTCAACATTAGGCTATATATTTAGTCATTTAAATATGTCAAATGATCCAAACAGTTTCAAACAACCAACCTTGAGCAAGCAAAAGATTTGGTCAGAATAAAATTGGTATATATAAAATAAACACCAGCACTTACCTGGTATTTAAATGACCCTTGTGTTGTGTGTATATATAAAGTATTGTCAACAGGACCCAACTGGCGGGCCAAAAACACAACATCAAATGTTGTGTTTCCTCCAGGAGGAACCATCTGAAGAAAAGAAAAAATAAACACAACTTCAAGAATAATAAAAATTTTAAAAGAATATTATATATATGAAAATTTCTCCGATTTAACCAGTAGAGAAGACAATATTTATGAATAAATAATATATATATATATATATATTATATATATATATATATAATGTGTATGTGTGTCATTAATACTTTCTGCTTAAAAAGTTTACTTTTCTGAAAATATTAAAAAATTGTTAACAAAACAAAAAAAAATAATAATAATAATAGGGTCAGAGAGAAAAACAAAAATCAAATGGCAGGTGAAATTAAAAGCAAAGTTCACTTACTTTATCTTGAAAAAATGAGCAGTGAAAATGTGCTGTGCTGCCCGATATGGACAATAAGTGGAGACTGGTTTTTGTGTCAGCATTGTGTACAGACACTTGCTGTAGATAGGGCATACCCACTGGACTGAAAGAACAATGAATTAAAAACAAATTATTAAATTCTTTTCATTCAGCACACTAATGAATTTAAACTTCACTTTGTTGAAAGATTTCCACATTTACAATATATCAATTAAAAAGCTGAAATTCAAATGAAGAAAAACTTTAAAAATAAATCACTATCAATTAGCTACAATAATAGCTTCAGTTCCTTTTATTTTGGTTGGTGGTACTATCAGCCTGAACGTTAATTTAAGTATAGATTAGGTACCTCCAATAATATGATGAAAAAAGCCCAAAACTTGATAAGACAAGACAAACTTATTGTCAAAATGTTTATGCAATTGTTTAGAGGAAAGACCAAATTTTATTAAATTTTTAATCCTTCTTAGCACATTTGAAACTTTGGTTAAAAAATCTTGTTTTTCATGTGTCAGTGGAGAGCATCTTTTTTTTGCAGTTAAAAAACAAAGATTAATTTTAATGAAACTTTCAAGACTTATTCACAAATGAATTAAGTTATTTTATTTATTTATTTTTTTTTTTACATCAGTTAGCACTCTACTAAATAAAATTTCCATAAATTAAATTTTGAATTCTATCAAAACTGATGCATTTATTTTGTACATTTCCACACAGTATATCATTTATAAATGTAACATTTTATACATGGCTATCATCTTGGCTTTGCACTGACCAACTAACAGTAATAACAATGAGGCTGAAAAAAAAAAATCAAAAAAAAAAATCAGAATCTTCTGATTGAGAACTAACTTTATAATAAATGAGAAATCAGATAACTATTGATTTATAAAGTTAGTAAAGTTTTAGTAGCCTCATGCTTATTAAAAAAAAAAAAAAAAAAAAAAAAAAAAAAAATGTGCTTCCGAAATATTTGGAGCGAATTGTCTTCTGTCATGATGTTCAAATATGATAAAAAAATTTTGTATACTGACACTTGTGGTCCCCTCAGTTATTGAGACAGGGTTTCCAGGTTAATATAATACTAGGGGGTGCAAAAGTAAGTATACTGTAAGAAGACAAGAAAAGCGTGCATATGCAAAGTTTGAACATTCGATGGATTGATATGCTTGTATAACATTTTGTTTTTCATTGCTGTATACCTATTTTTTTTTTTCACCCACTTAATATACAGGGTATTCCTAAAGTCTGGACACGGAGGAAATCTCATTAACTATATTTTTATTTACCTCCACAAATTAAACATGGATCTGCTGAAAGAACTGACTTCTTTTACTTAAAGGAGAAGGTGTACTCAATGAAAATCACAAATGCAACACTTAACTGAACACAAAGAGTGAATGTGTTAAAATTGATAGAAATGCGGATTTCTTGCATCAAGTTCACGTGAAACTTGCAAAGAGCATCAACCTTTGCATCACAAATAATGGAAATCATATTAAAGATGTTATTTGTTAAGATTCTAATACAATAAAATGTTGTTAAAAATTTAATTTCTTGAAAATATGCAATTTGTCTATGGTGTCCAGACTTTAGGGACACCTTGCACAAAATTTTTTAACCAAAATGTTGAAGGTTCTAAAATGGATTAAAATCATGTTTTACATCAGATAAACCCCTTTGATCTTTTCTCTTAATAAGGATTTTGATTAAACTGTTTTTATTAAGTCTGGGGCATTTTTTTTTTTAATCATGTATGCTCATTTTTAGTGAATCACACACACACAAGCTTCATACATAGTTCTCTTATTCTCTCTTAATTTGGGCTAAGAGTTTTATTTTATTTTCTTTAAAAACTTTAATGCAAAGTATCCACTTTGAGATCACTTTGCAATGATTGAAACTTATTTGCCTCCATAAATAGGAAACCAGATTTCAAGAAGTCTAAATCTGAATTTAAACGTTTCTTAGAAAATGCATAAAACACCGTTCAGTTGATGCCCAATAAAAGTGGGGGAAAGAAGAAAAAAAAAAAAAAAAGATATTTGTGATTAAACTTGTTTTGAAACTGGTTTGCATTTCGCAGCTAATTCAAGGTAAAACTCAGCTCATACCAGGCCCACAGCAGCAGCCTGGAGTGTCACTTAGCCTCAAGCACAAATCCCCGATTAAAAAAAACTGTACATTGAATTAAATCAAGCAAAGTCAAATGGTATTGCAGCATATATATCCAAGTTGGCATCAAAAGAAACTATGTCCAAATAACACTAAGCTTAATTATAGGCCTTCTGCAGCAGTAAGTCATTCAAATAAGATGATTATTTGAACACCTTTGGAGAGTGCAAATAAAATTATTACCTTTCTAGAGGCCATAATTTTAGTTGCTGGACTTGTAATTCAAACCCTTAACCCGGTCATCTATTTATCTGTGACATCTCACTCATTTTATTTATATATATATATATATGTGTGTGTGTGTGTGTGTGTGTGTGTGTGTGAGAATATAAACTAAGGAGATATTAGCAACTATATATGCATGTGATAATGTACATATACAGATGAACAAATAAATATTTAAGGTGTAAACAAAACAGTGCTCAATGTAGTTAAACAGAGCTATAAAGTAGATATTAATAAATACACATACTTATGTTTATAGTGTAATAGTTACCCAATTCATCAGGCACGAATGGTAAATGAATTATATTTTATATACATACATACGTGTGTGTGTGTGAAAATTACAATTCATGACATCCAAACAATTTACCTAATACAGATGATCATTTCGTCCATGGGAAGGTAGGATTTTCCCTGGACTTAGGCAAATACAAATGTATCTCACCAATTGTAATTCACTTATATGCTCTATAATAAAAATTATATTGAGTTCTCTTTTGTGGATCAGTTTTAATATTTTATATTAACAGGATCTACTTGGATTACTTACCCACAGAGATATATATATATATATATATATATATATTTATACATATATATATTTAAAAATTTTCTTTAGCCATTTTCGAGGGGATTGTTTTGGTGCTATAAAAAGAAACTAACACTACCAAAACAAAACCTGCTTGAAAATGGCTAAGAAAGTGGCCAAAAGCGATTGGGACAAATGGAAAAATATAAGAATGCTAGAAAAACTACAAAAAAAATATTGAAATTTTTCTAATCTTCTGTCATATTTAATGATAGATGTTCAAAAGAAAGGTTGCTCTCCCTATATATATATATATATATATATATATATATAAATAAACAATAGAACCAAACTCATCTAAGAGAAGATTATAAAATAAATTGCTGAAAAAAATGATAATTTATTACATTGCAATCTACTTGATCCAAAGTAATAAATTATAACCATGGAATATTAGTGTTTGAGCCTTTTATTTTATATTCTTACTCTGCCCTGGACATTGAGTTCTACCTGGATTGTGTGTGTGTGTGTGTGTATATATATATATATATATATATTGGCCACTAATATTATATAAGTAAATGTGGCATTATGGTGAATGGAACTGTATCTGACAAGTAGGTTAACTAGTTAAGTTAAAACTAGGAAACTCCACAGATTCGAGATAACTAAGGTTTAAAATTATTTTAAAACGATGAAAAATCTTTCTTGAAGCTTTTATTTTAGTTTTAATTCAAGCTAATTTAATATTTACAACAAGCAAAACACTTTGTTCTATTTCAAAACTAATTTAAATTGACTGGAAGGCATTTTATTTTATTTTTTTGCTAAAAAATCTGATTTCAGCATCATTTTTAGCCCGCATTTATCACAATGTAATTATCTTTATTGAAAACATTTTCAGAAAATAAAATATACTTTTCTGAAACTTTGAGGAATCTTAGTTGATTTAAAGTATAATTACTCTGAATTGGAAGTTTAAAATATTGCAGGAATGCATTGTTTAGATGCATCTGTTTATTTAAGATATCATATTGACAGATTGATGACAGATGGATGTTGTAAAAAATAATTGAAAAATATAACAAGAGAGCCTTTTTTTATATAATTTTTAAGTAATTTTTGAAATTTAGGAAAATATTCTCCATAATCTAATGTTTTATTGAATTTTAGATTCTTTGGCTTTAAATTTACTATAGTTATTGTTCTTATTTTCTGATAATGTCATGTATGGATGTCTATATCTACAAAAATAGGCATGTTTGTACACATAAAAATAAAATTAAAAAATTCTATTAAAAATATTGGTGTTTGATGAATTGTACTAATCTTTTCAATTTATGATTAGTAAATATAGTTTTCACTTAATATAATCAGAAAAGGTGAAATTAATACAGAACTTTAAACTTAATAAATTACTCAAAATAAAAAAAAAAAAAAAGAAAATAAATCTTGTAAAAATCCAATATTCATTGAAAAATTTTTTTTTCTTAAGACAATAGTGTCCTTAATATATCTTATTTATAAAAACAAAAAAACATTTCTCATTAATTTCTTAGTTTTTTTGCATTTTTTAATTTACAATTCAGAATAGATTTTCGGTAAATGGTCTTCCTGTTTTACAAAAAAATTGATTATTTAAATTCTTCAAGGAGTTTTGCTTTTAACGAATATTAAGGGGGTGAAAATTGAATTCATGGAAATTTCATAAATTAATTAAGTTGGGGATGGGGGAGTAATAGATATAAAAAAAAAAAAAAAAATTTTTTAATTATTTTATTAAGATTTTCTAAAATAATTTCATACATTTGTGAACAAGTCCTGAAAATTTCATTAAAATCTGACAATTATTTGATTTTTGCAATAATTTCCAAATTAATGTGTTTTTTTTTTAATGAAAAAAAAAGGGGGGCCTTAAATTTACTATACTAATCTTGTCCATCAAACCACATAATGCCTTCTGGGACAATGGCTGGGTGTTGGAGAGGCTATTCTTAACCCTTAGGTAAAACTTCAAGGCTCTTCACCATCTAATCTAGGAAGTTGATGCAGAGCATATGTTGACAATGGTCAATGTTTGGCATTCTTATACTGTCTTCAGATGATATACTGGGGAGCCTTAACTCCCCACAAGAGGGAGAGAACAAGACAAGCTAAATCAATTAGTTGGGTAAATGGGAGTGGAAGTACAGAGAGTTGGTAAAGAAGGAAGGGGTAAATGTGTGAAGTATAAACTTCTGCCCACCACTTTAAGGAGTATCTTGCAAGGCTTGTTTATCCAGAGGAAAGGCCCAGGAAGAGAAATTCCCTTCCATACACCCCCCAATCTCAAACCAGCAGACTTAATCATGATTGATCTTAAGGTCCCTGTTACTATCTTATACCCTCTGATTTCTATGCCAACTTAATCTGGGCAGTGCCTATGACAAACCCTCTCATATTGTTGGCATATGTGGAGCGACTTTGGTTGGTTTTCGTTTTGTCCAGCCAGAACAAACAAAATTTGCTTCCTAGTTTGACCTGAAATGCCAACCCTCAAGACGACCTACAAAATGCCAACCCTCAAGACGACCTACAAAATGCCAAACCTCAAGACGACCTTTTTTAAATGCCAAACCTCAAGACGACCTACAAATGCCAAACCTCAAGACGACCTACAAAATGCCAAACCTCAAGAAAACAAAAAAATGCAAACCTTCAACCTTTCATCAAAATGCCAAACCTCAAGACGACCTACAAAATGCCAAACCTCAAGACGACCTACAAAATGCCAAACCTCAAGACGACCTACAAAATGCCAAACCTCAAGACGACCTACAAAATGCCAACGTCAAGACGACCTACAAAATGCCAACGTCAAGACGACCTACAAAATGCCAACGTCAAGACAACCTATTGTTTTCCTCAAGACGACCTTGAAAAATGCCAACCTCAAGACAAACTACAAAATTCCAACATTTGTGCTTTTTGCTTTAAAATTTTGAAATTCTAACTTTTTTTTTTTATAGTAATTTTAATCATTTCAATGAGTTACACTTTTTCAATGACGATGCTAAACTCTTTAAAACAACAGAAACTAAATTTAACATTCTTTCAATATTTACTAAAATTCAATAAGACAGCTGTTTTGATATCAACTAATAATTAAATTATCATAGATTACAAAGTTAAAATTAACTTTCTGATATGATGAACAAGATTAAGTTATTAAAGGCAATGATGGGCTAGTGGCTCAAATTGTGGAATTAGAGAGCAGAGTTCAAATTCCACTTGAGTTTGTTACATTCACTTATATGCAAATGATATCTTATCTTGTTCTTATTTAGTACTGCTCAGTTATTCCTCACCCAACAGAAGCAGTAAATTTTGATTGACAAGACCATATAACCAGATTCAAGAGATCATTACATTGCATTGGTAAAAAGTAAATATACATCAAACATCAATCCAGAAAAAAAAAAAAAAAAATCCAAATCCAGTTTTTTTTTTAAAGTCTCACACATAATAAATAGAAGTAAAGGGTGTTCCAATAAGTTGGACTGATTTTAAATGTGAATTAAGTTTAAGTGTCTAATCATTTTTTTTTTTCTTTCAGATTTAACAACTTAAGTCAATGGAAAGATTAACAATCAAACAATATGTTAATGTTATTGAAACCTATTAGGAAAATGGATATTCAAACAGAAATTGAATTAGAAGTTCCCTGGTCACATCTTCTCTCAAAACAGCAAAGTCACTTGGCCACCACGATTGTGCAACTTGACATCTTAGATTTGTTCCATTGGGGTCATTTCAAAAGTAAGGTCTATGCCAACAATTCAACAGCTGAAGGAGGAGATAATAAGGCACATTGGGGAGATCGAGGAGCAACTATGCAGAGACATCATAAAAAAATTTTGACCATCGAGTGGAGGTGTGTTGCAGAAACCTTGGCAGATATTTGAGCGATATTATTTTTCACACATAATTGTCATAGCTTAAATAACATGATCCAATAAAGTAACAAATAAATTTTCACCAATAACACCGATTTATTTACTGCTGACTTTGATCTGTCTTAATGAAACACCCTTTACTAGTGCATTTCTTGAATCCATATTTGTTTACATGTAAAAAGAAAAAAAATATATACATACTGTTCTCCAAATTCCAACATTGGTGGATCCAGTCTAACACCATTTGGTAAAATATTTTCTTCATGAATACTAGAAAGAAAAATAATAAAATAAAGAATGGGACAATGAGGCATACAAAATAAAAGAGACATGTATATCAGGGTTAAGAATTTTAAATCATTCAGAGATGTCAATTTACAAGGACACAAGGAGCTGTAAATGAATTCAGTAAACAGAAACCTTTACTGGTTGACTGCACAAAAAGGTCAATAACGAAAACCTGGAGACATAATCAATTTCTAAAACGAAAAGAGACAAGAAGAAAGAAAGAAAAAAAAAGCATAGGTGAGTAACAGGTCTACATTTAAACAAACAGTAACATTACTCAAGAGATCCCTCAAAATGATAAATATTGATCTTTTTTTTCTAGATCATTACAATCTTTCTGTAGAGTTAATCATTTCTAACACTTATTGCAAACACCCTTGCTCTGCACAGGGCACATTAATCAGTGATATTTATTACTGGTGTCATTGCGGGAAGGGGTAGAGATTAGGCTCCCCTACAAATCACACCCCACTCAGATGACCCAACCACATCCTGGCCTTTTTCACTTAAATCATTGAAATTTTCCCCAAGCTTATGTAGGTCTAATTATTTTGGAATTCAACCAATGAGAATTAGTTTTATATTTACTGTGGTTCTGCCTGGCTATTTAATGCTATTGAATATTTTCCCACCAATTTTTTTTCTTCTTAATCTTTTGCTGATTTGTCTTATTTTTTTTTTTCTTTCTAAAAAGGGAACTTCAGAAATCTCAATACTTTTAAAGAAATTTAAATATCAAATTTATAGTTTCAATATTGCCACAATATTTCAAAAATTTGTCTATGAACACAGTAAGCTTTTCAGATTTCAAATATTAAATTTTTTTTGTTTTTTTAATATTTCCTGATAAGTTTTTAAAAATTATAAGCATTAGGATATATTTTTTAATAAGTATATGTTGGCACAATCAAATCTGTAGAAGCATTTTTCTTTCTTTTTTTTCAAATTTAAATTCTAAGTTTTTGCTGACTGGCAATTTAAAACCATATTTCAGTCAGTGAAACTTTGAGACAGAAAACCCTGAAGTGAAATTCATTAAAAAAAAAAAAAAAAAGTTAAGGACATTTGAATCCAAATTAAGACAATGTATTTTTTCTATCTCTCTCAAAACAGTTCATGAAGTATTTTTCAGTTGTGTGATGTTTAAGGACTTACTATCATCACGCTAACATGTGAACCTTCAGCATGTGTTTAAAGCTTCTATTTATTATTGAATTCTATTTAGCCAAGGACTTAAAACAGAAAAAAATGTTATTGAAAATGATTTAATTAATCATTTTGCAAAGTGACAGAGAGAGAAAATAGATGAAAGAAAAAAAAAAGACTTACTTTAATTCTGAATAACTTTCCCCTGGTTTTATCTGAAAAAGAAAATTTTGCTTTAATAAAAGCTGCATTTCCAAAATTCTTTTGGATGTAACAAAATATTCAATTACAAACTTGTTCTTCTCAAAGACAATAGTGTTGTGAGGTGAGTGCATTTTGATAAAAAAAATTTTATATTTATGGTTACTGTGGTTATAAACTAGAATTTTTTTTTCAACATGCTGACCTCACAATATTTAGCATTGTTGAGGTTATCACTAACATTTTTGCCAAGATTTACAAACCAATTGCTGAAATATTAAAAATTGAAAAAGATATACAAAAAAACAAAAAACAATACTGCATTATTATTAAGTATTTAATTTTATCATTAAATTATTTATAAAATAATGGGAGTATTTTGTATGTTAAATAATAAAACTTAATTTTTCCAAAAACATTAATGGAAATTTATTGTACAAAAGTACACACCCTAGTAAAACCAACCACCTGTTTGCACTTCTCCCCAAAATTTGGTTTAAATTGGTCAATGTATGATTATTTTAGAGGATGTGATAGACTAATGAAAGTCATAGAATTTTATATATAGATAGAAGCAGCTTTTTTTTCTAAACTGCACAAAGAAATTAAAGTTCATATTTGTATTTCAATGAAGAAATCAGTTGAAAATATGCTTTATATAGTGAAGAGAATAGTCTATTTTGTAAGTGCTTTGAATTTTATGTTATGACGAAAGACGACAAAAAGACAGGAAATTATCTATGACATTTCTTCACATTTACTCAAATTCCTTCTTCAGGTGTCATGTGTGATGTATGCTTGGGTGATCAGGTCTATTTTCAATTCATGACTAACTTGGCAGAATTCCTGCTGTAGGCTGCCATGAATTTCTACAGTAGAAGGGTTGCCAACCAAGACTAAAGGACCCATTCTGTCTTGTTATTTAATCCACAGCTGGGTTAATCAAATTAATGAAAAATCATTGCAGTGAATATCTTGATTGGACATTATATTTTCACAGATTTAATTTTTTTTTTTTTTTTAATGTCAGATCCCTTTCAGACATGGGCAATCAGGTTTCTCTAAAAAAAATTCCGTTTCTTATTTGTCAAGGGGCGAGATTTCTTCACGGAGACAGTACAGTGGTTTCAAGTTGCCCATGCCATGGTTTTGCATTCAGAATAGCACTTTTCCCAAACTGGCTGCCACTAAGGCAGTCTAATGCATTATTTAATCCATAGCCATAAGAAGAGATGGATTCATGCCTTTTCCAAGGGCATTAGTGTGAAGTGAACACAACAGAATATGCTGAAATTTCAAGTATGCTCATCAATTCTATTTTTGCCATCATGAACATATTCAACAAAAAAATTAAATTATTGAAGTGAAGGTGTTTTTGAGAATATAAGCCTTCCACCATTTTGAATTTGTAAGATGTTATGGTAAAGAGATAAAGGATTCATTTCTTACTTTCATTCACAATTTCTAAACAAACATTTAGTCAAATTTAATGATCAATAGGAATAAACATAGAATTATATCAATGTCGCAAATATCCTCATCAATGGTTGAATGTTTTTTGAAATAGGTAGCCCAAACTCTCCTAGATTACACTGTGAAAACATAACAAAAATAGTGAAGTTTCCTTTCAACTACTGATATCGTGTTTATTTTGGAGGCTATTTTTATAAAAAGTATGCAAACAAAATTCAATCTTTTTGCTTTCTGAAGATTGAATTTTTTTTTTTTTTTGAGTAATGATTAGTTTTTATTTCACTTCTGTTTATCACTATTTCAATGACAGTGTATTTTTTTTTTAAAAAAACATAAATGAGTTTAAAGTGTTATAAACATTTGTTTGAGGGATTGACCAATGATTCATGAAACAAATTTCTATGTTTTACAGTCATTATTGTCTCTTTGAAAAGAGAAGAATTGCATTTCACAAAAGTTATCAAAATTAGATAATCTATGGCAAATCCCAAAAATTATGAAAGTTTCACACATGTACTTCTAATGGATACTTTTTTAAGGGAAAAGTTCTTCTGACTTGTTTTTGCCCTTCTGGCCAATTTTACATGGTAGAAATATAGGTTCTTTTTGGGTTTTTTATTGATGTGCTACTGAAAAAAAAAAAAGAATTAGCTTCATCTGTTGTGCTCTGAATCATTGCAAGATATTAAGTGTTTTAATGAAACTTATATGAACTATCAAAAGTACCCTCCTGTGTCATGTCTTGAAACTATTTCATTGTTGGGAACACAATTTTACCCAATGTTTAGGCTGGTCTGACCTAATAATTGATTTCATTAGCATTATATTTCTTTTACTTCAAAACAACCTATATTTATAATGAGTTTTGATTAGTTTGAAGCTGACATCTTGAAATTGGATTCTGGTTCAATAGTACATCATATGGAAAACTGACAAATTTGAATGGTCATAACTTTGTTGCTAATTGAACTACCAAGATAAATTTAGTATCATTCTTTATGTTTTGTCAATCTCTCTCTCTGTATTAAAGTTTTTTTTTTGTTTTTTATTAGATATATTAATAAAATTTCAGTATTGGATACCTATTTGAAGCAATCAGTATTTTGCATTTATTTCATGCTTTCAAAGTGGATACAATTCATAATGTTAAAAAAAAACACACAAACAACAACATAAGTTACCAAACCACACATCACCAAATAAGTTATTGTAAATATTTAATGAAAACTTAAGCTGAAATTCAAATAAAGTGTTTGACCAACATCAGTTATGACATACCAATTATGGAAAGAGATAGGTTAATGCTTTACATGTTGAGCAATTAAGGATTTAGCACATATTTTGCAAAATGTGTCTCTTATGGTGACATATGGATAATTTTAAAGAAATCTCATCAGTTTGGTTACAAGAAAAATAAGAATTCCAACAAATGATCCCAACTGGCTTGGCTGGTATTCATTATCATCATTGGCTACAGACAAAATAAAAATTGTTATCTTGATCATCATTAATGTTATGGAGTAAAGCCATGTATGCTTTCTCTCTGAAGAAGGCTCAAAAACATAGTGGCTGAAACATGATAGTAAAGATATTAATCCAAAAATATGGGCTGTTAATAGAAATATCTACTTTGTCATATCTAATTAACAGTGACATTTCAATTTTTAATTCTGTGACAAGTTTTAGAAAGTTATTTGTAAATGGAAATTTTCATAGCTGGAGTTGTTAAAAGTAGCACCCATGAATTTGTATGCTTTCAGCAATATTAAATTGTTTATGTAAAATACAGCTCTATGTATATTAAAGAAAAAAATGTCAAAGTTAAGACAATATGTAATGTAAGCTGTTTAAAAAAATCCCATGTCAGAGAACACACCAACTGTTTGAAGAAACTGGAAAAAAATTTACATCTATGCCATATTGCAAAGAACAGTCTTATATTTAAAACAATTTTGTCTCATTCCAGATTTCAACTCTCATAAAAAAAAAAAAAATTCAAGTCACTGCAGATATTAAACTGCCAAGTAAACTACGCAAGATTTCCTTTAAAAATAGTTTGCTGAAATGTTAGAGCTTACACAAAAAAAGTTTCCATCTTGAATTTCCAAGTAAATATGGCTAGTTGTGCTTTCCTGTTTTTGCCACATCAGAAATGTTTAAAAACACTAACATCCTAAAGAGAAATGAAAACTGCAAAACCAGTTTCTTGTCTACGCAACATCCGTAGACATGAATATTTCAGCTAAAACTTGATTTCCTACATTCTTCTTTAAGAAAAAGAAACAAAGATTTTATAGAAACAAGTGTCTAAAATACTAGATTTGTTCATAAAAAAAAAATAATGTTGATTAGTCATTTAATCAAGCATAAATGGTTAAAACCACCAAGAAATGAAGATATAACTAAATTGCAAGGAGTCAAGATTTTTTTGTCACTTCCTTGACAATAACAATTGAAACTAGAGAAGGAAAGCTAGTTCCAGAATTCTTGCACAACTCTGAGATTTAGGTCAATTGGCAAATTATGTATTAAAAAAAAAAAAAAAAATTTTTACCAAAGGAAATTTCTTGTATTTTCTATCAAAGTGTGAATAAATTAATGTGTGTCATAATGACATATGTAGAGTCTCATGCAAACTACAAGTATTAGATTTCTGTAAGTTTTTCTTAACAATTTCTCAACCCACGTCAAACTATGATAGACAAGCCTCAGCATGTAGTCAATATGAGAAAAGAATGGTTTCTCTTCATGACAGTGATAAAAACATTTGATAAACTTATCCCCACAAAATAATTCCCTGAACTGGTAAAATAATTGTGCAAGAGGTGCCCCCCCCTTCCTTTCCAACTGTAAGAGCACAACAAATAATAAATCTGTTTGTAAAATATTCAAAGAGAAACCCTGACATTTAAAATTAACCATTTACAGAATCTTATGCTTGAAGTGTTTCCAGATTCACATAATGAACATACAAAATCAAACTGGTAATAACATGTATGCAGTTTTTTTGTACAAATCAAAACTTGAATGTCATGCTTCAAGTTATGTCCAACAATGATACACATCCATATCCGCAGACAAATCAATTAACAATCAGTATCACTGGAGAGTCCCAGTAGAGGAGGGAGAAATAATGGATTTTATTAAAAAGAGAGAGAGAAAAGCAAAGTCTTCAAGTGATATGAAAACTATAGCAACAAAAATTCTCTAGAAGTTCGTTTTTTTTTTTTCCATTTATTTTTTGCAGAGATTAAATGTGAGACATGCTCAATATCTTCTCAAATTTAAAAAAGTGTGAGAGAGGGATTTAATATTCATTAGATAAACAAGAGTTGGTCAAAGTGAAAGTTCTGAAACATTTGCAGACATTTTTCACCAAGCAACCACTTTCAAATTTGCAGAGAATTGTATTTACTGAGAAATGTAGTCTATACAAAATGCTAAGAGGAAGCTCACTGGTTGCTATATCATGTCACTCTTAATTTGTCTTTGACCAACAAAAAAAAAAAAAAAAAAAAAAAAAAGTTGTTTATATAGCCTA